ATCTTCCTTTTCTTCTTTTTCCCTAAAGGTTTATTAATGCATTGTTTGTGCGGGGCGCTGTCCGCCAATGGTGGACTCGGTCTTTGCTTGAACCAGTACCTGCTGACTTAATGTGAGGAACTGAATCTCCTCCAGAGGCTCTGGGCGGGCACATCCCCCACACTGTCAAGCCTCAGCTCTTACCGTTTTTTCCTCTCTACAAATACTGATAATGGGTCTTCAAGTTTCTTCAAGAAATCTGTTGGGTTAGTTACTAGAATTACAAGGCATTCAGTTCATAAAGGATTTGGAAGGTGGAACCGGGGATTGAACTCAGGCCCTTGCGCTTGCCAGGGAAGCACTTATTCTACTGAGCCATCTCCCCGGTCCCGAATTGACATCTTTTTAATAGAGTTTTCCAGTGTACTAACAGTATTTATGTTCCGTCTTTGTTCTTATGAGGTCCTCACAATCAGGCCCCTCCCAACTCAAGAGAAGAACGCTTGAACAGACCAGTCTGTTCAAACAGGAAGGCCCCTCACTGCACCTGAGAAACAAAAATAGGTCTGTTTATCGGCTAGTTCCCAGGCTGGTCTCAGGCTTTGGGACACCCTGTAAGTCAACAGAATGACAGACTGTAAGTCAGCAGGATACCACTGTCATCCCGTATTCCCGTCCTCCAAAGAGGTGCCAGACCTGCACGTGAGCCCTGAGAAACTTACAATTTTCCATCTTCCTCAGTGTAACGCCCCCTCCCATACCTCACGCTAGTGTATAAAGCTGGCTCTCTTCCTTTGTTCCTGGTCAGTGACTTTCTCACACTTCCCCAGGTTGCACCCCGCCTGAAATAAAGATATTATCATTTGCTTCGATCCTGCCGGTCCTAGCGGTTTTGTTTGCTCCCTGGGGCGTAACCTCACAGTTTTGGAGATTGAAAAAAGTGACAGTTAGGTATATTTGTATCCTTTGATTTTTTTTTTTTTTTTGAGATAATCTCTAGGTAGTTCAGGCTGGCCTAGACTCACCATGAAACTGACGCTGGCCTGGACCACCAGCAATCTTCCTGCTTCAGGCTCTTGAGTGCTGGGATTAAGGTGTGTGCCACCATGCCTGGCTGAATTGCAAGTTGAGATGGACTGCACATAAACAACTTCTCTCTATCACTGTCACTGTTTTTCTCTTTTCTTTTTATGAAGCATAGCCTCACCTTTTTCGTTTTCTTTTTTTTTTTTTTCCTCTTAGACAAGGTCTTGCTATGTAGCCCAGGCTGGCCTTGAACTCAGGTTAATCCTCCTGCTTCAGGTTCCTGCCTGCTGGGATTATAGACATGCAATACTATACCCATCTCAGGGTCTGACTTTGTAATTCAGGCTGGCCTTGAACTCACTGTGCAGCCCACACTAGCCTCAAACTCAGTGGTTCTCTTGCCTCAGCATCTCAAGAACTGGCCTACAGGGGAACACCACCACCCCTGGTGTAGATTACTGAGGATTTTAGATATTCACAATTGTGTTCTACTTGAATTCAATTCATGCAATCCAAGCTACATTGCCCCTGTGCCTGATGGAAACCTGGGTGAAGCTAAAACACGCTTGATCCTGTTTCTCTCTGGGGAATGCAATCACAGCATTGGCTGTTGCAGGCTGTGCTGGACCTCAGCTCTGCACTAGAGAGCACTGGTAAAGGAGAGAGTGGAGTTAGTACTCTGCCATCCCCTCTGCCCTCTGCCTTGGGAGAAACCCTCGCAATTAGGATTCCTTGAGATGAGTCATTCTTCTTCTGGTTTAAATGGCTCCTGGGTCACTGGGGGACCTCCTTGCCTGAAGGGATTGAGCCACAGTTTTGGAGGAGCAGGCCAGACTGGGGTCCACTACCTGTGTTCTATTGCTGGAGCCAGGGAGCGGGAAGAATGGCAAGGGGAAGTTTCTTCTCCCATTCTACCAAGCCAAGACCACCTGGGCTCAGCACTCTAGGAGCATCTGAAAGCCAGCCTGTGGTTTCTTCTGTTTATAGTAGCAACTAGCAAAGTTGCAGGTAACAAGTTTTCTAGTGTCCAGGGGTTTTTTTGTTTTGTTTTGTTTTGTCTTGTCTTGCTTCGTTTTTTGTAGCCAGCTCAGCCCACCCTGGCGATTGTGCTGGTGCAGCACATGGTACCGGGAATTGAACCGCAGTCCCTGTGCTTGCCTAAGTTTGCCTAAACAGGACTTTAGACTGCTGAGCTATCTCATCCAGTTGTCTGTTGCTTAGCAAGAATTTCCATTTCCAAGTCCAATGAATGTGATATTGCATTTGGTGTGCTGTTGATTAATTCTCTTGAAACTTTTGTTCTTTAGATTTCTGGAGACAGGGTCTCCCTATGTAGCCCATGCTGGCCTTGAACTTGTGATCCTTTTGCCTCAGCCTGCCAAGTGCTGAGATCACAGGTGCGTACCACCTAGACTGGCTCCCCCCTCTATCTAAGACACTCTGATAAGGATGACACACAGAAC